GTCATTATTTTATTTTATGTTTTTGAAGCTGACCAGAATGAGACAGAGAGACAGAAGGTAAGTGAGAAAGCAAGCTGCCAGATCTGGGACTCGAACTGTGGTCAGGTATATGGGAGTCCAGCCACCTTAACCACAATGCCACCTGCCAACTCCTGTTCTGCCTTCTTAATACTTCTCTTTTCCTTTGCTTCAAGGATGATAATGTATGGATTCTCTTCCTATCTATCTGACTGTGCCTTCTCTATCTTCTTTGCCAGCTCTACTTTCAGCCCCTAAGTGGAGAATTTTCAAGGTTCTGTTCTTGACTCTCTTTCCTCTTTCTTAATAATCTCTCTAAATAATTTCTTCCATTTCCATACTATAAACAGAATGGTCAAGAATGTGACCATTTTTGTCAAGAAATCTACACTCACATTTCCAAGAGCCTTCTAGACATCTTGAATGCAATACTCTACTGCCACTTCCAGTTTATCTTGCCCCAAACTGATTTTTTTTGAGAGATTTTTGCTATAGAATGTGTGTGTTCACCAGAGAGACAGAGACAGAAAGCAAGAAATCACCCCACAGGAGGGGTGGTGGCCATGCCTGAATCCCTTCTCCTCCATTCTCCTCTCAGGATCTTGGGCATGCACACACACATGACCAGTGTGAGATTTAAGCCACCAGGTCCAGGACTCAAACCATGATAGACTATGTGGGAGTGCAGTGACATAACCATTATGCCATCTTCTGGTAGCCACTCCAACGTGAATTTACCTTCTATCACTACTATTCTTCTTTCTAATCTTAATAGTTTAGTAACCTAACTATCTTCCTCTCAGCCAATCAAACTCAAAACCTTAGAGTTGTCTTTGACTGCTGCCTACTTCTTTCCTCTTAAACTATTTCCTTTGACTAAGAATATGACAGTAGACTCCTAATTCATCACTTATACTCCCATAGATTACATATCCTAATGTGTAAATTTGATTATGTTCTTCCACTAGTTAAACACTTTCAACAAATCCCCATTTCCTAAAGAATTATATGCTAACACTGTAGTCTTTCAGTTAAGCACTTCAGATGTGGTGCCAACCTACTTCTCCAGAAATGACCTTCATGCTCTTACACTTTATATAGGCTACTTTCTTACTCACTACACTGTTTCTCATTGCTGGAAAAAAAAAAAAAGGTCTACACTTTCTTGCCTCTTCCTTTCATTAAGATGATCCTCACGTCCAACTTGCACTGCTAAAATCCCTACTCATCCTTCAAAATTTTTCCCTCCATGGTTATTTTTCTGAACTATTCAATAAGGCATGCTACTTCCCTCCTCTGAACTCACATATCATGTTATTAACACCTCTTGTATATTTATTATCTTCTGTTTTATTCTGTAGTCTTTCTGTACTCTTTATCATTTCAACAAGACACGAGGGTCTTAAACTAAAGAAATCTTAATTATTTCTGCATCTTCCATCATGTATAGCATAGTACCTGTCACAAAACAGAAGCACAAAAAAACGAATGAATATTTAGGGGCTTATATCTTAAGCTCTGAATTTGATATCTGCAAAGCCTTGATCTTGGTGAATATTTAGCCAGCTCATACCAATAAAGAGTGGCTATTTATTGTCTGTGTACATCCTCACTGTTTGGGGCCTGCACTATACCAGATATGAATATGTTCAATATATTCAATATTACTCTTGATATGATACTCTCCTTTGAAATGTCTTCTTATGCCCTTAGCTGAAACAGGACGTTCAGCTGAATGGTTCAAAGGCATTGTCTGGGAGTTCTTTCCTAGTTATCTAAGCAGTGACTATTTAGAAGGGATACAAGTTCACTGTGGAAGACTAGTAATTTAAGCAACTAATCATGATATTTGGTTACATTTTGGTTTTCTAATGAAAAACACAGACTAATACCTCATTTTGTTTACATATGGAATTGAAAACATTGCAATCAGAAACACAATGGTAGGGCTCTATATTTTACATCCCAGTAATTTCCATCTGTAAGCACTGATAATGGAGATGGCAAGCAAAGTGATAAATCTTTGATGTTTGTGGTCAACTCCAATTTCAGATTTTTTGGTTATTCCCTTTTATTTTACTTTACTTAGGGTAAATAGCTTTCTTTATAATTTGGTTCTTCTGCTTCTATGTCATCCTACCAAAATAGAGGTTATAGGAAAGGAGCAAGGATGCCAGTGTTGGACGGGGAACAATAGCAAGTCAATGAGATCATGGAAAAGAATCAAATCTGGTGCCTACAAAAGGAAAAAATCATGAGGCACCAGCAGGAAAAGATGATCTAGCTAGCAAAGACAGAGACCAGGAGGAAATCTACAAAAGTCCTCAGTTCTATGCCTTGTAAAGGAAGCAAGCAGACTGGAGAGGTTTCTGCAGACCTATAAATTCTGTGTCTTCCATCTCCCTCGCTGATTTCCAAGCTCTTCAACTGATATCCAAAAAGATTTACCATTGTTACTGTCTGCTCGCTAATTACTTTTGACCTCTGGACATGTGCTTTGGCTGCTACCACTTAAAATGACTGTCATAGCTAAATAGCAGAGTTTTGGTTTTTTTTGTGTGTGTGGTTTTTTTTTTTTTTTTGCTATAGGGCATGTGCACTCGCCAGAGAGAGAGAGAAAGCAAGAAAGTCCCCCCTGGAGGGACGGCTATGCCACAATCCCTTCTCCTCCAGTATCCTTTCAGGATTTTGGGTCTGCAAACACATGCCCCTGGTGTGAGTTTCAAGCAGCCGAATCCAGGGCTCGAAACCTCCCACTTGGCCAAGTGGGAGTCTAGTGACATAACCATTACACCATCTGCTTTTCCCAATGGCCTGATACTTTTGACCCTATGTGTTCATGGAGGCACTTCAGCTATGAGTGAAAGGAATTCTAATTCAGATCATTTGAAATCAGTGCTATAAAATTATGCAGTTTGTGATATATTCTTGATGTTTCACAGTTGACAACACTACATTCCCTTGAGTACCAAACTCACCGAAATCCCAAGGAATGATCTCACTCTTCTGGTAGAGTCTTTCTAGAATCAGTATGAGGTGTGAGACTAACCAGACAAGGGCCCTAGCAAATGTGTATCTTTTGAAATAAACAGTCTGGAAAGATTAGGCAGTTATTTTATGGCCCAGAATAACATGCTTTTACTTATAAGCTTCTTAACAGAGAACTGAGTTTATGCAAAAATTATTTCCATTCACATTTAACTTTTATTGCTTTGATAGTTCAATTGAGTAAGAGGAGCGAAGTTTTTTATTTTCCTTAAGAGGTAGATAGGGCCTCTGATAACATGATAGAATATTGTCATTATACAGATAAAGACTGAAGATGGGTAGAAGATAGGTAGAGTGGCCTCATAGTTATGGGCTAGTAATAATTACAGCATTTTTCCACATAGCATTATCTTTAAAAATTAATATGAACATATAAATACATATTTTCATTTTCTTTCCTCCAGTTTTTCACTTTTTTTATAAGCTATCTTCACTGTTTTCATATCCATAAACAGCCTTATACTCCAACCAAAACACTTACTTCCTCTCAACCAAATCTACCTTCAGGCTAATTTCCCAGAGAGCATTCATGAAAAGCAGATGTTAAATGTTACCCATTACATTTCACCCAAGTGTGAAAAAGATAACTATAACTTGTATGGTCTCCTTACATGAACTTCACCAATGTCAAAAGCTTTCCTGGACAACTCTGCACTGGGTCCCATTTCTCTCAGTGGTTGTTGGAGAACAATAGTTATTGGGATCTACCAATTTCTATTCTGATGGCATGTGACAGCTTCTAGTCCAAGTACAGAATATTTTTTGAATTGTAGGCTTTTCAAGAAAAATCTGATTAAACGAAATTAAGTGGAGCTTACATACTCACTATTAATTTTCCTTTTTTATTTACTTCTCCACATCACTTTAGAGCACATGAAGAAGACTTTTAACGTCAATACACCTTAGGCTTTCTTCTATTTAAAAAAGTATGAACTATATAAATATAAATATAAAACATAAAATCTTACTTAGAAGAGGTGGACAGTTTTGCCTACTTGGTTTTTTCTTGAGAGCAGCTATTATTTGCCTCAGCCATAAAGTGTAAACAGAGAAGGTGAACAGTTTTTTAGTTTCCTCAGCCATAAAGTATAAACAGAGAAGGTGAACAGTTTTTTAGTTCCACTTGAATGTGAGAGATGGTTTTGTTTCCTT